ACCTGGACTGCTCGCTCTGACAGCCGACTGTACTGAAGACAATGAAGATAATCGATTCAGCAAATGTTTCCTTTAGATCTCTGTACAAGAAATGTGGTATTTTACTGGTAATATTTTACCTATTCAACTCTAAACATTGGACACAAGCCAGGTTCCCACACAGTTTTATGGACAACATTTCAAAGCTTTTCCATGACCATTTACAGTGTGTAACACAAACAAAACTGTATAGAACACTTTACTCCAAAAAGTTAATTATATTATTGAAGGCAGTCCGCAAACATGGAGCAGTGGAGCTCCCATAGTGGGGAAGTGACAACTGACAGTTCGGTTGGCCCATCAAGTCAAGAAATTCGCACTCCAACTTCATCATATATTGACGTTTTGGTTATGGACTTTCCACTTCCACATACGACATGCAAAGTACCCTGGGTGCATTGGGTGTTGACGTTCTGGGACACTGTGACAAGTTCTCTTTTGACGTTTGGCATTTACATACAGTCTCTTTCAAAATAAACGCACTACGTCGCTACAACATCGTGAATTGATGCTTTTTTTTCCCTTCAACAACAAACACACATGGTTGGGTTTAGGCAACAAAAACACGATTAAGTTTAGGAAAAAATAACTCTTACGGGACAAGAACACTGCTCACTTGGGTGAAAGTCCGTGTTTGTTGGACCCATCCACCACCACTTACACCCGCCCCACTTGGACCTTTGCCGCCTTAATTTTTGCCCTTGTCCTGCCGTGTTTCCCTCTGACACCGCAAGACATTGCTCAACTATAACGACAACTGGCCGTGCATCATGCCAACTTTTTTTGTTGGTTTCTGATGCTGCAAGTCACTGCCCACGCGCCTGATTTTGATGACTTCAGAGTGAGAAAGGGCTCCATCGGTTAATTTGCTCAAAAAAAAAAAAAAAAAAAAAAAGGAATGCTCCATACCTTCTAACTACCACGCTCCTTTTTCAGAGCAGTTAAAACGAAACTGAAGAACCCATTACTGTTAGTAAACAGTATGATGTTTTTTGGTGGGTAGGGCTTAGCTGGAGGCAAGAGTCAGGCAACAGTTCTCCACAGACATAAGTCAGCACTAGCTAGCAAGTTAATTGGCTTGTTTTAGACAATGGAGGAAGATGATACAAGTGGTGCATACAGAAATACTCATTCCAAGTGCCGTTGCACTCTGGCACAAACTGGACCATTCATATATTCTTAACGCTATCAGAATGTACCGTTCCGTTATTCAGAGCACCACACTCTCGGAGCGGCAGAGTGCAGAGTGGAGTGAATGTGTGATTAACTTAACCTCTCGTTATTTCATATAGACATATAAAGCTTTGTTTCTTTGACCAACAGGGCTCTCATTTCAGTGTAGAGCATCAGAATTTACAAACGCACCACGTTACACATCACTCGCTCTCCGGGACTGCGAGTGTTACATGAAAAAGTAAACACTGACCAATGGGACCAGACTGGCCAACCCGTATGCTCTCACTCAGTGGACGGATGATTTGGCAGGATTGCTAAAGGTGGGACGGCCGGCTTTGCGGTTAAATCTTACAAAGAAGGACGACACTTGAACGGTTTCCTCCAGCTTGTTTTGCTATCGAAGCTAATGTTAGCTAATGCACTAAAAAGTTAGTGTTACACAGAAATCCAATATTCCTCTTAATACTTCCCCAATTTCTGATGAGGGGGACATATAACCCTTAATACACATAACGTTATTCATCCCTACAACAGTAACCTGATATGGAGTGTGCGATGAGCATTTGTGATTATGGCCTCCATTCAAACCGTTCTTGTTATCACATTAACCATAGATGTCTTTGTTTTTGTTGATGGACAGTGGTGGCTGGTAGACGATCAAATTTAAGCTTTGAGCCATGACTCCTATTCTGGCACCCAATAACACAACAAGATAACATTTTAAGACTCCTATGTAGCCTACAGCCCTGTGGTGGTGAGTCGTGTTTTGTCTCCAGCTAAAAAACTCAGGTCATTGTGACGTCAGCCCTAAAAGGGTCTATACTACACATCATGTATCAGCTACATACAATAATTTTGCTGTTATGTTACATTACATGGAAGGTTATCCACGGAGGATTACTGAAACAATTTCATTACACACAAGAAAAATTCCATGGCTTTTCCAAAACTGTCATGGATTTTACCAATTCCATGAATTTCCGGGCCTGGAAAACGAGACTGTGGAATTCCATCACTCCCAGGTTTTCCATCACCGTGGGAAACCTGACATACTGTAAATGTAATTACTGAGATAAGATTGCAGTGGCACGGCATTACTGTACAACAGACATTGAGTCTATTAGGGCAAGCAACACATGTGGTCAGACAACAAATCCCCGGTTTAACCTAATTATCCAAACGATCTTATCAGGAGCTGCAAACAGAGGTGAATGTAACATTTAGTACCCAAACTGTCCTCTGTGTCCAGTAGACTTCTATTAGTCTTTACTGTCTCTTTCTATATTTTTGTGTCCCACATCTCAGCAATGCAGTTTGTGCGTGCAAAGCTATCATCACTATATGAATGCCAAAAGCTACAATAATAAGACCCTTTCAACCCAGTGTTTTCTCTGAGGTGAGTATCTGGAAACTGTCACACTCTTTGCCTTAATCTCTGTCTTTCTTGATTTTGTGTAACTCTGTGGGAGCCAGCCAGTCTCCCCCGCAGGTGGTCTAAAACACTGCCACCAGGCTCCTGACTGGCACCAAGAAGAGAGTCCATTAATCCCTCAGTAGCCTCGCTTCACTGGTTACCAGTCAAATAAACAATTGGTTTCAAGGTTCTGTTTTTAAAGCCCTGTATGTTTTGTTCTTTTCCCTTACAGGGTTCCTCTGACCCTATTCTTCTTTCAGGTTTCCTCACTCCTGCTGGTTAAAACCCAAAGGAGATTTTCAGTATTGAGACTGCAGAAAAGCTAAACACTCACTATTAGGTCTTCCCTTCTATTGATGTTTTGACATCAATAGAAAAACCCGTCTTTCAATCCGACTTTTATCTTTAGGCTCGTCGTGAATATTTTCTTTTTCCTTTTTTGCTAAATGATGATATTTTTCATGTGTTCCTGTGTAGATCCATACTTCCAAGAGAAATGTGCTTTACTATCACACAGACAGCACTCCTAATTAAACTAAAACCTCAGGCTATGCTACACACTCACCTCATGCTTAATTTATTCACAGGAAACTCGCGCTATACATCTGTACCTTTCCACAATACTATTGTACAAGTCGAGTTCATTCAGAAAGACCGTGAAAAATGCCATCCCTCATAAGATCTCTGGTTCATCTCCCGATTCCTCGCGCTGATATCTGACTGACAGACTTTCAATCCGGCCTCCTTCTGTACTGACCCACACAACACCGGCAGTGATTCATTAGCTCAGCTATACACGGCTCGTGCATCACCCTGACATCTTCATTTTCAGCTGATGTCTCTACACCTGAGCTAATGAATGAATAAATGTATAAATGAATGGATGAAGATTCACTCACTATCAAATTAGTTTTGTAAATCAGCTTGTAATTGCTACTTTATATTGTCACAGAGAGTTCGAGATGAGTTTCTGGTACGTTCAGGCAGAGAACAGGCATGTCATTATAAAACCTGGCTAGCACCTCCCATCTCTGAGGTCCACTTCCCCTCTAAGCCCTTACCAAAACACAAACACCATCAGTAAACTTGCCTACCTCGTCACTTCCAATGAGTTCCACAAAATCTATATGAGGAATTTAGCACTAAAAGGAGTCGTTTTGGCGTGCATATACATGTACGAACACAAGATGCCAATGTTACAGCATTTCAGAGGTTGCAAATAATCTACAGATTGTTTTAAATTTAAATTCAATTGTAAAATGGGTGTCAAAAATGACGTCTTTAATATGTATAAGCCAAAGACACATTTCCATGTGTCAACACAGACAGACAGCAATCTATAGGTGCTAACTGTGACGAATCTCCCAGTTTTCGCTCATAGCCTCCCCTCTGTCCGCCCTTAGCATATAACATCCAAAGAATCACATCAGTATACCGCTGAATCTGCTCCTGACAATCACAGCAGGCAAAAAGCAAATGTAGCAGGGATGATAGATACCGATAGACGACCAGCCCGGTATTCCAGGACTATCAGCCCACTCCCCTCAGCGAGGAGGAGGAGCTCCAAGCTGCCTGCCTGCCTGCCTGGCCGTTCATGACTCAGTGCACCCCAGCCTCATCCTGAATGCATCAGGCATCCAAATTTGCCTGCACACACCGTGGTCAAGTGGACATGACAAAGGGAAATCAATAGTCAGCCCCTTTATGTAAATGAGATTGAACTGAAGCCTGCATGTAGTGAACAAGACATCTATCATGTTTAGGATCAGCATTTAATATCCATTCAGTATGAGGTGGAACAGCCCAGCCTGCTTTAGCTGCATTTGCCATGTTGGGCTCATGATGAAGCAGGGGTTCAATAAAGAGATCAGGATTGAACAGAAACAGCTTTTACACATGATTTCAATTAAATAAAATCACCTCAACAGCACAAATACAGCAGATACAATGGGATTATTTAACATTAGGTTATGTTGCCTTTAACAAACATGCACACATTGGGGTTTAATTGTGTGATCAATCAGAGAGGGACCAGCCAATATGACTCAGCACCTGAATTTGCACCCCTCTTTCTCTTCCTCTCTCATTAGGCAGCGCTGCTCAGATTATAAATCACGTTTACATTCCTACAGGAGCATATTCTCAATGATTTTTCCACAGTGACCTCATGTTAAATCTGTCTATAATGTCTTATAGTCGTACTATCCGCGCACTGCCACCGCAGCAAGGCAAGTTCCCGCAGTGACCGCAATAGGTAGAGCCTTTATGTAGCACAATGCAGACATTATCCTGTCAAGCCGTCAACAAAACAAGCATTACAGTGCGTAATTGGAGCAATAATAGGCACGGCAGCAATCAATAAGTCTCTTACCTATGACAGAGATCTGGCTCTTAGATCTGTTGCTCAGCTGTGATTTCATGTCAGACTTAATTCCGCAACACTGCTCATGTAACCCTGGCTGCAAACAGAGATGAGACAGAACAGACTCATCAGAACCCAGACCCAATTCTCCTGGAGACGAACAATGCGTCCTTTCTCCATCCACACAGAGGGGCACCTCATCATTTCAGCTCCGATGCCTGCTCAAATGGTCATTCACTGTCGGGTGTAAATATGCAACATGACCGCCAATAAGACAATCTCCTGTCATCATTCATACATAATATCTCCTTTTATCAAGCTGTTAAAGAAAAAAAAGACGTGTCATTTGTTACCTGTTCGGCGCAGTGTCTTTCAGTGCAACTCCGGTTCTGTCGGACACAGGGGCTCCGCAGCCTACAGTTACCGTAATGACTGTACAAGTCTCACCGTCACATTGTCATTGTGCTCTGGTTATTACGGTGTTGTGCTCCACCCGTTTTCTAGAATTAAGAGAGCATTGGTAGATATTGTGTACATTATTTTAAATTTAGGAGAGATTTAAACGCGATGGTAATGTAAATGTAACCTCAACAATTCTGCATCCTTTAAAAAAGTTTCTATGGTGTCATTCGTGGACAAAAATGTCTGCGCAAAAAAAAAGCCATTAAAATATTATAAATTATTTTCTAGTTTCAGTGAATTAATCTTTTAAACCATTATCACTCCTGTTCACAACTACCGAATATTCATTTATTTTCAGAATTTTTATTATTTAAAGGCCAGTTTGTTTACATAATATCACTGTTGTTTGTTTGTTTGACTGATTGTTTTTTCATTAAAAAAAAAACAATACAAAATTTGAATTATTTTCTGTGCATTATATGCTAAGGAGATTTTTTATTCTTTATTTTTTACAGTTTGGGACATATCAATGATTAGCAACAACATTGATTTTGATATTTTTATGCACTTTTTTGTCAGATTTAAAACAAACAAACAAAAAAAACAACTCCCTCTTCGTCCAAAAATGTCCACATCAAAAAAGTTATAAAAATTATATACATCAATATTATTTTCCACTTTTACAACTCCAGTTCGCATCATACAGTATCTACCAAATATTCATTAATTTTCAGAATTTTAACCCTTTAAATGTCAGTTTTTTACATGACGCTATTATGTTTTTAGATGAAAAATAAATGACTCAGTGTCCATATAATAGGAGTAAATTTTGGTGGAGGATATTATTAGGACTTAAGTCAAGATTTTTTTTTCTTGAGGGTTTTTATTCCTCTCTAGGCATGAAAAAGTAAAGTTTAAAGAGTTTTTCCACATGTGCACTCAGTTGGAGCGCATGTGTTAAAGTTTTCAACTGGAGAAATACAAACCAATTTAAAAAATGATATATATCAAATGAAACTTTAAAATATATACTTTAATGCTAATAAGCTAGTGTGTTTACACATTTTAACATGTTCATATACTGTTCAATGCCATGGAAAGGTGTTGAACTGTACCTACCTCCCCCCTCCCTCTTTCAGCTCCATCCTCTTCACTCCTCAGCCCCCCACCCACCTCCTCCTAGTGAACTATATCATTTTTTGATGAGCATTTTCCACAAAAATGACAAAAATATTGCCAAAATATTGTTTCTGTTACAAAAACTGTACATTACATTCTAACATAAATCAGTTGATTTACAGCTCAAAGTCACTGCAGATAAGATATTTTCAAGAACAACAAGGTTGCAGTAATGCTATTAATTGTAGTTGAAATATAGCCAGTGATGCATGATGTCCAGTTCAGTGGACAGATGATTAGTTGTAGTTTCCTCACAACATAAAATTAATACTTGGAAAATTTAGCAACTGCATTACTCCTTCGATGTTACTTGATATTGACAGATTTTATTTACCTGCCAGGCTCTCCTATTATAGAAGGAATGGCAAGATATTCTTTAGCTGAACAACATTAATTGCTTTCTGTCAGCCATCTTGGTTTTGACAGATTTGTGTTGCACAGACAACACCTGTCCAGTGGGTGGCAGTGTATGGCATGACGCACTACAGGGTCCACTGTAGTGACCTAAATGCAACTATTAAAACCGAAACAGATACAAGAAAATGGCTTTCAAATAGCTGTCCACTGTAGTGAGCACTATGTATGAAAGGGTTGAAAATAAAGCAAAAATACCAGACTAATTTCACAGCGAATGAAAGAAAAATGACATGAGAACCACTTGCTCTTAAATGTAGGCACACAAGAACACCCTTTCAAGGATACACACGTACATGCATGCACACAAGCATTGTGGGTTTCACTGTGCCTGTAGTGCAATAGAATGCTTATCTCTTTAGTTGCACACACACATACACGCAGACACACTAATTTATCCACACACATACACACTTCTGTCTGACAATTATCAACACAGACATGATTTTGGTTTCATTACACTGGCCTACAGTGTTCCTAATACAGCATCAATGCCCCTAGTGGAGACCAGGAAATCAGCATGCAATTTCCCCATAGTGCAAATACTGTATGAGAAGATGGCTCAAGGTGGAAAATAGTAAACACTAAAATTTGAAATTTGAAGTCAGCACTCTAAAGTAACAGTCCGATATCACAGAATGAAAGCCGTTATGCTGTAACTGGCATGAGATTAAAAAAAATGTGGTTTTAATTGGGTCTGAGAGGGTGTTTTTAGGCTACACTGTTTCTTATTGACTTATTATGAGGCTGAACTTCCAAAATTTGAAAGAAAACTCACACTCTCCCCAAAATGTATGCCATATGCATTTACACAGCCAAAGTTATTAAAAAATAAAAATCAAAAGGACAACTATTTTGCAAGAGTGCATAAGGGTTAAACTTGTGAGTGTATCTGTTGCTGTTAGCTTGCTAAGTTAGTTAGCTAAACTAGCCCCTTCATCCAGGATGTCTTTCCTCCTGAAAAAATATATTCTTGAGGCTATCTGTTAGAGGAAATAAAATTACACATTTTGAACCCCTCATAAATGACGGATGTAATTGCCGTAACAAAATGTGGTTTGTGCTTGCCGGTGGGTTACTATACACTACGAACCTCAAAAACCATGTTCATCTTATTTACCCTTTGAAGTATCTATATAAAATAAAATAAATAAATAAATAAAATAGAATACAAAATATAATGAAATGAAATATATAAAATAAAAATAAAATGAAATAAAATAGAATAAAAAAATAAAATAACATGAAATAAAAATATATAAAATAAAATGAAATAAAATAGAATAAAAAGATAAAATAACATGAAATAAAATATATAAAATAAAATAAAATGAAATGAAATAAAGTAGAATAAACTAAGATAAAAAAATAAAATGAGTTTCTATTTGCAGAATTTTAAAATTAATGGAATCGTAGGTGTACTGCTTAGAGCTTTGAAAAACAAGAGGAAAACTCTTGATAACTTACACTTTCCACTAGAACTACTTTTTTTTTTTTAGAAAGAAATAATCCCTACAATGTGGACATTCTAATTTGAAAACATACCATTACCGTGAGATTTAAATCAAGATTTTCTTGATTCAAATTGTAGAGGGGAAGACGTGCATTGACAGATAAGGACATTTAAAAATCATGCTATCTCACAGTAAAAACAAAAATGTACAGCATAAAAGCAGTCATATTACAGTATTGTAATAGAAAATTGTAAAGCTGGGCTGTTCAAGATGTTCTCTGATAAGAGCACCCTCTGGAGTGCAACTGCTGTACCTGCAACATGTAGAAATAAAATATAACAACGTGCTGCTCTTCATAGTTGTATCCATGATATATAGACTGAGTTCATTTGAAGGGATACTAATTACTAACAATTTATCTCCAGTTTATTCTGTTAATTCCAGTTCAATGAGCAGAGGCTTGAGGGATTCTGTTTCAATGTTGACTGAAGTTGGCTTCTAAGGAGCAATATGGCCCCCATGTGGCCACCACAGGCTCATCTTGCCCGCCAGCTGCCAGATCAGACAGATGTGACTGGGTAGAGGCTGCCGGCTCCCTTTGACTGCTCATGGTAAGATGAGAAGGCCTCTTGGTCACAGCACCTGAGCCAAAGATGGTTCACAGCTTTTGTACCAGAGTGCAACAGAAGACAGAGGGGGAATATTCCACCTGTTCATATGTTGGGTTGTTGGCTGCTTTGCTATATGCACATTTTACATGTCAGTTTTTAAGCAGACATTTGAAGCAATGGAAATGGAAAACTCAATTAATAATCAAGTCCTATTAACTCCTACCATCCTGGAATAAAATAATTATTATCTGTGAATTAATTTCATGTGATTGAGTTTCTAATTTTGGGCAACCTGTCTCCCGTCCCTGGTATGAAGCAACTGACACACATACATGAAGATGAGAGCGATGACCTTGACCACCATCTGCCCATTAGGCCTCCTGGTAGCTGCGAGGGATATTATAAGAGGAGGTTATACATATGGGATCAAAGTACGAGCTGTTTCACTGGGACTATGGCCCTAAAAAGCAGCGACCTCTATAAATGTTAATCATCTAAATCACCGACATGACCTCGTATTAGTTTGTCCTTTCAGTACTAGCTTGTGTCAATGACACCTTAGTTAAGTACACTTGGCTGAAGTTGCAGACACACTGCACGTGACTGAAATAGAAATCACAGAGCTTCTGATCAGAAGCTTCACTTAATGTTTCTATTTTTAGAATTGCTGCATGTCTGAAGGCACATTTTCAATTTTTCAGTGTGTTCGCCTGTGCTGTGTTTATAATCCTTTTTTCATCGTTACAATTCTGCTTTAAAGTGAAATTCTCAGCTTTCACAGGTTGTAGAACGTAGAATGGATTTGTGATGCTAACAGAAACCTGATGTTTTTCCTTCTTCTTTTCTTGATATTTCTTCTTCTCTGTATCCAATTTGAAATGAACAAATTCCCTGTACAGTGACGTTTCGTGGGGAGTACAAAGAGCCAAATTTTTTCCACTGATACACAAAGGTTGGGGCTATCCAATTCTGTCCCCTCAATGCAGGGGCATCAATGCAACAGCAGGAGTCAAGAGCTGCAACAAGGACGTAATCTTTCACAGGCAACCCCCACCAGGGAACATTAAAGGGACAGTTCAGATCTTTTGAAGTGGGGTTGTATAATGTACTATCCATAGTCAGTGCATTACCTACAGTAGGTGTTAGTTGGAATGCTCCCAGTTTGGAGAAGCAGACAGGAGTGTCGCCTTGGAAACTGAGCAATGTACTGCTGTGGATGGGGGCAGCAGCAAAACATATTTTAGCCAATGAATCAGTCATCAGAAAATTCTAGGAAGTGTACTGTCTGGCAAAGCATGACATCCACCACTGTTTACTAATGTTACTGTTTACTAATAACTTTCATAAAAAATATATACCAAATGAACACATCAACAG